TGTGCTGAGGCGGGGAATGTTCTTTCTTCACCAAACGTAAGTTATCTGTATGCCCGCATATCACCGTGTTCCACAGGATCAACCTGCATGCCGCTGGCACGGCACTCGCATAGTATCGATGCCAAGTTTAAATCAGGGGTATGGACGGCAGCTCGGGTACACGGCTCAAGTACAGAGCCAATGGAGGAGAAGGGTCTTGCGTATTGTCATAAATTACGCGCATGCGGTGATTTTACTCCACGTAGTTTCTTCAACATCCTCATAGATGTGATTGGGTGGTAAAATGTAGACGGTCGAGAAGAAAGACTAAACGTAGACAATTTGGACGCGGCGAGAGTATTTCTAGAAAGTAATTAGACTATAATCTTACAAAAGACTACCCATGCGAGATAATACCGCAGTCGAAAGGGAAGTATAGTCTAGTAGACGAATTGATACCACTACATAGACGAATTGATACAATCGAAGATACGATATGGCTGGTGCTACAGTATGTTTCCCCCCAAAAGTACATGACTAAAATTTAACAGCAGGTTTTCGTTTCATGGAGTATGTATGTATGTCACCCTGACCTTCTTTGGGTTGTACATGACGTCGGTCAAGCAACCAGTGATGGCGTTCTTGACGATAGTGTCCACATCCTCAGACGAAAACTCCGCCGCGTCGTCCTGGAAATCCATGTTTGTTCAGCGGTAGATCCCAGTATCCATGCACCCGCACGGACTTCTTCCGACGGAGAGCTACCCGTTCCCTCGGAAATCACCCTTGCTCTTGCCCCGCTCTGATCCCTTCTGACGGAAAACTCGTGATGTCTCAAGCAGAACTGCAGTTGAGCGCTCCACACTGCGCATGCGACGAGAGATCTCCAGGTATCGTTAGGTCTCAGCACCAGCGCGGAGCACGAAGACGGGCGACTTGGAACTATTTTTGTTGCGTTTGGGACAAACATGCCTCCTGAACCGCCTGGAAACCATTTTTAAACGAGGACGCTATGTGCTGCGGTGCCCCCGCGTGCTTGGTTCTGTCGCTGTGCTGGCTCTGCCGTCTGCCAATCACTCTCATGTCCGCGGTGTGCCGCGACCCAGGGCCAGGCTAGCACGATGAAGAACAAGGGGAACGCCAAGAAGGCTAGTAAGACGGCCGAGCGGCGCGGAGCAGCAGCAGTAGCAGCAGCAGCAAGCACGCGAACAGCAGGTTCGGGTGGGCAGCAAGCAGACAGAGCCAATGGACGAGGCAGCCGCGAGGTGACCATGGGTGTTCCTTATGTGCCAACCCTATGATAGCCTGGGCTCCATGTAGGGCCATCGCTAGTGAGGCCTTGCTGGTGCTGAGTCCAAGCTGAAAGGCCGTAGATTGTATATGCTGGGTCGACCAGGCTGGGAGACTCCTCGGTTCTCTGTGTAGTCTACGGTTCACCAGTGCTGCCGTATCTTGCGGCTGTCTTTCAGCAGCAGCGAGGGTCTCTGCTGCAACCGCAGTGTACCCGATCCGAATGCTGCTGTGTCGGTCACCTGCCATGTTACCAACCAACCTGTGCCAGCTGTTGCAGGTGCTGCACGCGTACGGTTTCAACCCACTTCGTGGAGACTTAGTCTTTCTTTCCCCACTCACACCACAACTCAGCAGTAATCTACTCTGGGACAAGGGATGTTTGCATACCACTCGTACGAGCCCCCTACACTCTACTGCTGTTGTTGTGTGAGGCTGTATGAATATTAGACCGTCAGCTTCACAGCAGGTCAATTTGCTTGCTGTTTCTCCACAGCGGTATTAAGGCTCAACAAGTAAATGCCAGCCGACTGGGCAGACCCCGTCGAGAGAGGTCTACTTGGTACCTTGTCCTGGCAAGGAGAGGGTCGAAAATTATGCAACTATTGAACGGGTGTACGTAGTCTGGTGAGCGAGTCTGTACGCTCACTACAAGTCGGAGCAAGACAGCCCTGCTGTCAGCGCCTGGTGTACCAAAACCAGCTGTGTTCACAACAGCATGTACCTCAGTCAATTTTAATTTGTCATGTTTCTTTGGCGACTGCCCCCCCCCCTCCGCTCGCGCGTGTGCATGACTGCATCTGCTGTCCATCGTTTTTGGCTGCATTACAACCCGAACATGGAAAAGGCTAATCCTGGCCAAGCTGGACGTGCAAATGGCAAGGGCCGCAAGGCGAAGGACGAGGTAGCCGCAGCCATGGAGGAACGTGACCAATACAACTCCGAAGGTAACGTGCGCACGTGCTCCCACACCGTTACCAAGCGTCCCGTGCAGCAGCGCTTCGCGTTCATGCTGAGGAGGGCGAGAGCGTCAAGTTCTCTCCTAGATCAACATCATGGAAAGTATGCTATGCATACCGCCGCTCTCTCTTGGTGCTGTTGACTTATGTATCTGCCCAAGGCGAACTTTCTAACGTCGTTCTCTTGCTGCTGTTATTGTGGTAGTCGAAAGAGGCGGAGAGATGGCACTCTCCCTACACCGACCTTCAAAGCTTGATTGCTCCGAAGTGGGTGCGAAACGAGCTCGATACGTCTACGGAATGCCCTGGACGATGTTTCCAAAACTACAATTTTGGTGTTCAAGCTTTTATGAGGAACAATTGAGCTTTGAAAATCGGTCTATAGTCGGGGTGCCATCTCTCCGCCTCTTATGGTATCGTTTGTTGTTGCGGTTTGCCGCCGCGAAGGACAAAATCGTAACGAAGTCGTTGACGTTTCGCACACGCAGAGCTCTCGAACGGCTCTTCGAGCGAGGAGGGGGATGACGAGGACGAAAGCGAAGATGGCGAAGAAGAAGAAGACGAAGACGATGGAAGTGATGAAGACGACAACGATGATGATGATTCGGGAGAGGAATCGGAAGAGTTTGAAGATCAGGGATCGGACTCGGATGACTCGGAGGAGATGGAGCGGCAGCAGGCAGAGGCGGAGGAGGTGAGACTACTGCTGTGTACCGACCGATGGCCGGTGGGGTGTGTGTGTGCTACACTTCCAGACAGTATCATCAAGTGCATCATCTGGTGATTGGCACCTCATCATCACTACTATTGCTGTCAAGACCCTCTTTGTGGGCATCACTCGCGATGACCCCACGAGGGCCATGTGTAGAGGTTATTCAGCCCATGACCGTCCAGAAAGCCCAGAGCATATCCGATTGCACCACGCTGTTGCATGGATGCGTCGGTGCAGCTGCTGCATCATGTAGAAGGCTTGGGCTCTTCTGTCCTACATATCTCACTAGGGGGTTTCCTGTGAAAGTGGCGGTGACCTCATTGAGTCACGACTCCTCTACTACTACTGTACCCTCAAGGCTCCAGTACCGACAAAGGCCTAAAGCTGATTCACTTCGTGTTGTTTCTTCCCCCCGCTAGGGCCCTAATCTGCTCCCTCTCTGGAATCTACTATAATCCCGTACCTCTAAATGCTCAAGTACCTGGTAGAGCAGTCTGTTTTTCGGCGGCCTTTACACTCAACACTTGATGCGACGTGCACCCTCCCCCGTATCGGAATCCCTTCATACCGCCGTCTCTGTGGCAATTTTTTCCGAGTTCGCAATGCCGGATGCTAACACACAATTGGTTCCTGTTCGTGTCCGGAAAATCGACCGCTATGGTCCTTTTCTGAAACCATCGTATCGAAGGATTCGGATGACGACGAGGGCAAGGGCGGCGGCAGCGGCAAGATGAAGCTTGACGAGTCGACTCGACAGACGTGGTCCATGGTCTCTAGAGACGCTGAGATCAAAGCGCAAAAGTGAGCAAGCAGGGTGGCGAAGGGACGAACGTCTCGCGCACACTGCTGTTTCTCACCGCCGTAATTGTTTAGCAGTGCCGTAGAGCCCCCCCCCCTCCATAATGTGTCCAGATGGAGACTACAAAAAGCCAGTACGGGGATGGTCGGAGGTGGGGCACAAACGTCGGGTTGTAACCGCCTGGCAAAACGGGCCTAGGCAGGGACAAGACGGGTGTAGTTGCGTCTTTTTGGGCGCTTGGGGCGCAAAACGATGATTGTTCTTGTGGGTGGTTGGTGGGGTTGAGGTCAAGGTTACGATAGACATACCTTGTTTTTGTGAGTAGCCAAAAACTCCGAAACATGCGGTGTCTTAGCTCGAATCTCGGCGTGCAATGCCTTCAGGCGAACGTGTGGATGGATGTAGCACGCGCGTATGCGTACGCCGTATTTTCTCTCAGGACCCTACCGCTATTCGCAAGCCCACGCTGGTTGCGATTGTTGACTGTCTTTCTTTTCTCTCTTCTCTCCATCTCTCTTCTATCTGTCTGTCTGTCCGTCTGTCTTCTCTGTCTGTCTGTCTGTCTTTCTCTCCCGCCCTCTCTCTCTATCTCTCTCTCTTTCTCTCTCTCTCTGTTTCTCGCTTTGACCGGCGGGGCGAACAGAGGAGACGGCGCTCTGGCTGTGTCGATGGCGATGCACACGGACGATCTCTCTTCGGACGATGACGAGGAGAACCGGAACACGGTCGGCAGAGGTGAGTCACAAGTCGCGGAGGAGATACACATCGTGATAATCAATAATTATTTTTTAGTTTTGCTTTCGTCCGGAGTAGGCTGTTCACGGCCTTCGTACACCCATCAAAGTGTATGGACGCAGCACCGCTTTTTCCACGATTCACTGGTAGTGTTCGACATCATCCCCTCACGCGAGTGCATTCCCTACAACAGATCCTAACTGCTACACGACTACAAGTCTCACACGCATTTCTACTACACAACCTTCGGAAAAGACTCTCTGCAGAGGGGCGGCGGCAGCAGACCTGTCAGCTCCACCTGCGGTATTCAGGTCACGCCGACATCGGTGCGTTGGCACAGCCCAACGTTTTCCATCAAACAAAAAAACAGCCGTTAGATTCCAGATTCAAGAAAGCCCGTGCTCAGCGGTTTGCCCTGTTCGAGACCCAGACCAAGGGGCGTTAGCACCAGGTGTATGCCGACCACCTACGCTTTTACACAAAAACGGCTATCCGTCCTTTGGCTGGTGAAGGCTGCCTCTCTCCTGGCAACCTCCCGTGCGCGCATGGGGCCGCGTATAATGTCGCGGCGGCGAGCAACATGTCCCTCTGTACGCGTGGGGCGAGATTTGTATCAATAACGCGTGGAATTTAGGAATTTACGTCGGCACGTCACGTCAACAGCAACATCTCAGTTCAAAGCAGCGGAACACATGCGATCGTGTAGCGGTAGGCCCGGCAGGGATGTAACCTACGATACCTGCGATACCGGTGATGGTGACACAAGTTGGTTGCACTACACACGTGCTGTGCCTACCGTTTTGTAGCACTGCTTGCTGTAATCTGCAGACCTCAGGCTCTGTCCAGGCAATGTTTTCTGACGCTGTCTTGTCGTGCACGCACCGTACGTGTCGAACGAAGCACTGACTGTGCGGCGGACGGTGTGGTGGGGCTTCGTCATGAACCCTATTGTTGTGGTAATAGCTCGTGCTGGGGTAGTTTGGCGCCAGGGAATACTCCGTGTCGTTGCCTCGTAAAGAGACCAGGGAAGAAGAGGAGGTACAGCATGCCGTAGAGGTAGGTCAAAACGATTTTTAATGCCAAGAAAACAAGAAAGCACAGCAGTGCGGCTACACCTTCTTTGGTGTGTGAATCACCTAGTCTTGTTCCCTTATCAACACCTTCTCTCCGCTCTTCGGTCATCCGTTTGCTGTTGCCATTTGCCGCGTGTTGGCACGCAACCCACACTTACACTGTATGTAGTCCCCTTACATTGGTACGACGAGTACGACCACATCGGCTACGACCGGAGCGGGAGCAAGGTGATGAAGAGGGCCGACGGTACCGGGAACGGAATCGATGCCGCCCTCAACGCAAGGGACGACCCCAACTACGCCAGGACCGTGTACGACGCCTACAACGACCGCGAGGTAACCTTTTTTGTCGAAGGGGTCGTTTGCAAGAGATGTTCTCCGGTTTTTAGCGGGAGCATCGGTCGCCTCGAGAGCCCGCTGTTCAGCATATTTAGGAGGTTCCCCGGTTCGAGGCATGCCCGAGGTATTTTCCATCCTTTTTTTTATTTCGTTTTTCTCCCGTACCCGAAGCCGTGCATCGCATCCGCCGCCGGCGGTGCATGAAGGGTGGCTTGTTTTGTACCTTAGCTGTTGTTGATTCGAAACATGAAGTGAAGAGGCGTGAATGAATAGTTTGTTCGCCCCTTCATGTGCTAACATCCCACGCAGTAATTATTTTTGTTTGGTTTTCTTAGATTGGGGGAAAAAAGTCCCCCCAGGGGCTTTGTTTTTCAAAGTCAGGAATTCATTTTTGAGCTCTGTCCGATACGAAAAAAGAACTGTTTTTTTTTGTCTTGGACCAACCAGGCAGAGCTCGATTTTCGTGTCTGAATATTTTTTTGTCGATTTTTTCGTTACTACCGGCGTTGCGGTTCTTCTGTTGCAAACATAACGGAATGATCCCCCCGTCCCCGATCCCCTTGTCCCCAACAACAAACCGACAAACCCTCACCAGGTGACCCTGACAGACCGAGAGCTGGAGGTGATCCGCCGCATCCAGGCCGGCGCCTTCCCGCACCCAGAGTTCCAGGCGTACCCAGACTACGTCGACTACTTCACACACGAGAAGCAGGTCATGCCACTAGAGGGAGGAGATGAACCCAAGCGTCGATTCATCCCGAGCAAGGTAAGTTGGGGGGGCGTAAGGCATATCGTATACGACGTGACGCAAGATAACGCACACCCGTGGACCGATTTTCAAAGCTCGATTTGTCAAAAGCAGAAAGAGTCGCAGCGCCGAAAATGCGCTGAAACCGTCTGGTCGAGCACTCTCCGAAAAAAGTATCGTTTCGTTTTTTTATCTTCTTAGTAATCGAGCTTTGAAAATTGGTTCAGGGTGTGTGTTTTCTTGTGTCGTATACGGTATCGTAGTGGATAGTTGACCCGTCCACACCTAAGAGATGAGGAACGTGGTGGAAAGGTTTCAGAAGCAAGCCTTGCGCAGACTGCTTGTTTTTTGGGTGGATGAGGAGGAGGCTGGTTGATGGCGCCTGCGGTCGAAAGGGCGTTGGAGTGAATTGTACACTCCCCGTATACTGCATGCGCTACCGCTTGAGAAACTGGGAACCAAGAAATAGAGACAGCGTTAAGAGCTTGACCAAAGAACGGTGCTCAGATAATAATCCTGCACGAAACCTTGATACATATATAGTCGATGTTAAGTTACCCCACAGTCGACCAAGCACTTGTACGTATGCGATGGCGGCATACGAAACACCCATGCTGCGTCTAATTGTTAAACCGAGCGCGTGGGAGGAGAGCGGATGGCGTAAAAGGCGCCCCCGAATAACTCGACTCGATATATATCTGGATTAGTCTATTAAATAGTGGTATTTGACACTTGACGTCGAGGGGCACCGAAAGGTCAGACCGGGACATCATGCCCCCACGCGTTGTACTGTATCCCACGCCGGTTGATCATTGATCATTGCCGTTGGATTCGAGACTTGTGTTCGGTTCGGAGATGAAACCGTTGCTCTTTCACTTTCTTCTCCCGTGGTTGATTCTCTTCACCCGTGAGGGCGAAGTACTTTTCACACCATTTACTGCTGTACATGCATGTCGGCACATGAATATATGTGTTAACCTTGCGGTTGATTTTGTGTACGTGCGCTGCGTGTGTAACATGTAATATAATAGTGGGAGATGATGAAAGTGCACCAGCTGATGAAGGGTATTAGGGAGGGGCGCATCGTCGTTAACCCCAAGAAGAAGGTGGAGGAAGACAGCTACGCCATCTGGAAGGACGATGACGACATCCCAGAAAAGTGAGCTATTACCGTAGGCTTTCTTGTCCTACAGAAGCAGCCGCAGCAGGGTGGGTAGCAATATCTGCAGCTTTTCGAAGCAGTGCTGTAGTACAGCGAAACGGCTACCGGAGTGGCCTCGAAATCATCGGCCTGTCAATGTTGTGGTCTCCAACCGAGGAAGACAAAAAAACGTACAGAAAACAAATAGAGCGGCGTCATTCACTGGCATCGATCAGCCCCGCTTCCTCCATTCACACCGATGCCAAATAGGACGTCAACCGTCCTTTTCTCTCGTGCCGTTTTTTTTTTCATGTTCAATTTTTTGTCGCTGTTCTCACATCACGGCGCGATGCGACAGGCACCGAGGGCCGATGCACATCCCTGCGCCTAAGATCCCCCTGCCTGGACACGCGGAGAGCTACAGGCCGCCGAAGGAGTACTTGCTGACGGAGGAGGAGCAGAAGCAGTGGGAGGTGAGGAGCCATATAGTACCCGTTTGGCGACGGTAAGGAGTGACGAAGCACAACAAGCGCGTTGGTTCGATGGATCGGACCGACATGTGTTCTTCGGTTACTGTAGCTTCAGGAGTGACGACGATGACCATTGCGAACATGTTCTTTTTGCGACGTTTGCCGTGGTTTTACTCCGGTAGTTTATGGAACTCATCGTCCTTTTCCCCGCTCCCCCCCCCCCCTCCCCTGTATCGCACGTTGTTGCTTGATGGAACTCCCTTACTACCGTACCCGGGACGCAGGAGATGGATCCATCGGAGAGGCCAACTAACTTCATCCCAAAGAGCTTCGATTCCCTTCGAGAGGTATGGTT